TATTAATCAGAATATAGCATCAAGTCAATTAAACTATTGATCTGGGTTGTTAATCAGTTTCAGCTGCTTAGGCGTTAATGAAATCAACCACAGGTGCACTAGAGGGGCAACTACGAGACAATCCGCAAAGAGGAATGGTTTTACACATGGAGGCCACTGATGTTTTTCCCTCCTCATCTTTTCTGACTGGTTTTTTTTTTTTGTTTTGTTTTTTTTTGGGTTAGGATAGGTCAGTGGCACTACTGGCAGCATGAGGTGATACTTGGATCCCACAATAGTTGCACAAGTAGTCCAGCTCTTTCAGGATGGCACATCAATACATGCCATTACCATTTGCTTTTTCCTCCAGCACAATCCCAAGAAGGCCCGAATTTTCTCTAGTGGGTCTTGTGCTCACAGTGTTGGTATTCTATGCCAATTGGGCTCACCAATTGGCATTTTCCATAGTGCAGGACAATGCCTGGCCTCGTGCCAAAAGTATGTGGACAGTTTTTGGAGATGAAGGAATTGATACCATTAGGTGGCCCACAGGGTCGCCTGACCTAAGTCTAATAGAACAACATTTCGGAGCATTTTGTTTCGGTCGATCCAAAGCTGCCAGGTTGCACCTCAGACCGTCAAAGAACTCAATGATGCCTTGGTCAAGATCTGGGAGGACATCCTCCAAGATACCACCCATCTTCTCATTAGTAGCATGCCCCAACATTGTCAGGCATGCAAGGGTGTGGCGGTCATACAATGTATAGAGTGTGTTGCATCAGTTTTTCACTTTTGGGGGTGTCTTTGAATTTAGCAGTCTGTTGGTTGATAATTTTCATTTCCATCAAAGGATGTGGCATCCCTTTGTTCCTTACACATTACCCTATCTATATAGATATTCATTTAATGAGTTTGTTTGGTTTTTTTTGGGGGGGGGGGTTATGGAGCACATTCAAAAAAATGTTTCATTTGCTAATTGATTTGCCTGAGGTATATCATTGATAAATGTCAACTTAACAAGTCCTCTGTTATTAGTATTGTAGCATTCCGGTGGTGGGGTGGTTTTGTTGTTGTTGTTTTCTTTTTTTAACCTTGCTTAGTTACTTCCTTTTATGAATAAGTGCATGTTTAAAAAGAAAAATGAAAGCATACCAGGCTGTTCAAGTACCTTTTTTGTTCTGTCTTGCAGTGTTACATGTATGAGTTGCTAGATGGTGGAAGCAATGCTACAGCACAATCTCCCAGTGCTGCTTGTCCGTTTGCTATTGTATTGTTTTCATATACGGATACCAAAGCAACAATAGCATCACCTCAGGAGAAATGGTATTTTATTATCACATATACATGTTTGTTTTTTAAATCTTTATGTTCTAGTCCGATACCATTCCATGCAATGTGAGATTATTAAAATCATACTGACTTTTTTCTTTTTCTTCTTTTCAGCGAGGAGAAAAAATTATG